GTATTAGGGATGGATGATTTGCTGGATTCACAAAGGTAACCCTTTCCTCAGCTTCATCTTTAGATTGTGGCGTGATGTGTTCATTTTTTAAGATTTTTAGGCAAACTTGACTTTACCAAACAGGTTCTTTTCAAGTCCTGTTGCATATCTTGTTTCAACAGACCTGGCCTGGGTGGGGTTCGTGATAATGAACTCAGTTGTACAAAAAAATGAGGTTAATCTCATTTAGGCTCAGTTGGGTTTGCATTGCCTTTTTTTTTCTCTTTATAAATAAAATGATTTAAAAACTGAATTTTGTATTTACTCTGATTACACTGATTAGTCTGACCTTTGTCTAATAATAACATTTGTTTAAATTGGAAAAAAACAAAAACAAACTGTGACAAATAAGAAATCCGGGCAAATACTTTTTTACCTCTTAAAAGACTCCTTTCACAAAAATAAATACTGTAGAAGTAAACAGCTAAGTCAACCACTTCTTAGGTCTTTTCTACATACTTTATTATTTAAAGTATGGCATCAAGTCCTCACTTGACATTACAGCAGTAACAATGTTTCCCTGAGCGGTTAGCTGATCGGTGCTCCTGTTGTAACCAGCTTGTAATAGGCTCCCTTCAGGGCCATGAGCTGGTCGTGTGCTCCTTTCTCGATCACAATGCCTCTGGACATGACGGCAATGATGTCAGAGTTCTGGATGGTAGAGAGGCGATGGGCAATGACGATGCAGGTCCGTCCCTGTCTGGCTTTGTCCAGGGCTTCTTGCACAGTCTGTCACGGGACACATGAATTAGTGCTCACAAAGACACACACACATACATAGTCAGGAGCCATGATCAATTCTCTCACGTAGCAGACACACAAGCCTCACAATTATAGCAATTTCACAATCATGGGCTGATTACTATCATTAGAATGTTCCAGAGGCTCAGTACACTGCAGAGGCCTCTGCTCCTCAGCGTGGTTCAGCTATTGGAGCTGTAAAAGCTACAGCACAGACCAAACTGACTGTATTCATCTTAAAAAGGCTGTACTGGAGGGTTGGTATGAACTGTAAGCTGTTGGTGATAATAATAGGGATGATGAATGGTAGTGATGTTAATGATAATAATAATTAAGTGCCTGCTCTCTTTGCTCTGTGTGCCCGGAGAATATCAAGCAGCTGCACTACGCTGTGATGTTGAGTTTGTGGACTCAGCAAATGGAAGCTGTTCAGAGTTCAGCGAAGCATACCTTCTCGCTCTCGGTGTCCAGGGCGGAGGTAGCCTCGTCAAGGAGCAGGATCTTAGGGTCACGTATGATTGCCCTGGCGATGGCAATGCGCTGCTTCTGGCCACGAGATAACTGAGACCCCTGAGAGCCCACGTTGGTGTCGTATTTCTGAAGCACGGGGAGAGAACAAAATTTGTGTCTATAGGCAATTTTTCAATACAGTACTTAAAAAATAAGTAGACACTGAAAACGACATAAACAAACAATGAGAGTAAGCAGAAAACATCAGTAGTTAGTGATGCTTTTTTTTAAATTCTCCAAACATAGCTCAGCTGTTATGTCATGTACGTAGCACTTGATTGCAAACTTCCATCTTCCATAAAAATGATTTTTGTGCAATCGCAGAAACAGCTACTGCTGATAACACAATATGAGCTCTTTCCAAGAGTTCTATTAGTGAAAGATCCCTGAACCCAGAGTGCTGTTAAAGCTGAGTGTATGTGGAACTCAGCCAGGAAGCCACATTTTCCATTTCAACAACTAACAAAAACACTGATGAGTAGTCAGGCTTTTGTAGCATTGTAGCCACCATTTCTACCTGTACCTGTTTCAATAGTGTGTCTTCATTAAAACTGGGATTTGTGAGGGTGTGTGGGCATTTAGCAAAGCAATTGTCATTGTTAACTTGAAGTTGTGTCAGTTACGTCCAGAAACGTAAAGGACATTGGCATCACATTGGAACATCCCAGACTTGACTATTAACAGCTTCCTGTTAAATTGAGAGTGGAACTTACAATACTTCTCCTCACATACAAAATCTTGAGTAATCAGGCTCCATAGTACCTTATTATCCTTACAGAGCACTTTCATGCCTCTCTACTGTGGGACCAGCTCCCAGTCTTGATTTGGAAGACAGGCACTACTTTTAAGATTAGGCTACTGTAGTTCGGGCTGGATCAGGTAACTCTGAACCATCCCTTAGTCATCGTACAATGACCTTAGACTGCCGGGGGGCTTTCCTCATCTCTTTTCACTCTCTGTGTGTCTATACGCTACTTTATTAAATTATTGGCAATTATAGTTTGCTTTTTGCCCTGTATCTCTGTGCTCTCTTCTCTTTAACATCAACCTCAAGCAGTCATGGTGGATGGCCACATCGCCCTGAACCTGGTTCCGCTGGAGGGTTTTTCACTCCACTGTCTCCAAGTGCTTGCTCACAGGGAGTCATTTGATTTTTGGGATTCTTTCTAATATTATTTACCTTATAATATAAATGACACGACTATTGTTGTGAATTGGCACTATATAAATAAAGCTGAATTGAACTGTGATTTACATATTTGCTTAAGAAATGAAAGATTGTTGGTTCAGTTCAAGCTGGAAGGGCGTCTGTTATAAACATCCAAAATCAAAGTTGATGTTATCAAATGTGTTGACTATCTGTAACAAGGGAGCAGCTGCATGTTGGATTTTTAATACTAATTGTTTACTTTACTGTTGTTGGTAAATCCCACAAAATACCCAAAGAGTCCTTAATCGCCAGAAACAATGAAGTTAGGTGGCTGTGTTCATAATGTCTGGGGGGTTTTTTTCATGTTGCCTTATAATAAAACATCTCCCTCTGCTGGTCCTGCAGCTTAATGCAACTTACTGCAACTTTTGCATGCATGTCCATTTCATATGGTGTGCTGACGTGTCTATTACTCACTTTGCCTTGATATGGGTTGGATTCTGAGCTCATGAACAACTGTTTGTTTTCAGAGATAAGGTGGTCCACACAGGACAGTCACTACAAACATATGATTTATACGTGTCTCTGTTTGCCTTTCTATAAAAGTCAGCAATTAATGGTGAAGCTTCTTCGGCTAGTCTTGGAAGAATGGGGTATAAATGACACATTAATGGCTTACAGAATAAATTATTGAACTTATAATGTGAAAACTAATGGATTTTACAAGGAACTTTGACATTTAGCATCTAAAGAGTAGGCAAAAGTTAGGGATGCATAATGGTAAAATTCAGGGCTGAGAAGGTATTTAAAACAATCATTTAGATAAGTAATAGCTGATGACTGACTGACTGTAATCAAACCGAAGTTGCCCATTGTTCATCTCTACTAAAAGCACAAGTGAATGTCCATATTAATGTGGACTAATCACATTTCAACATGCCTAATCAACATGTTGGAACAAGTATTATAATGAAGAAGAAAGTAGGAGGACACTGCAACCTGTGCACTTGATCGTCACTCAGTGCATAGAGTCCTTTTTCCCTGTTGTTTACCTTTCCTGATTGACTACATGTTGCCAGCCTGTTTACTGCTCAAACAGTAAACTTTATTTAATTTTGTCTCTTTTTGAATCCCAGCCACAAGCATCATTTACAAACTATTTATCGTACCTCAGGAAGGGCCATGACAAAGTCATGAAGCTGGGCCTTCTTTGCGGCAGAGATGACCTCATTCATGCTGATTTCTCGCAAGTTGTCGCCATACTTAATGTTCTCTGCGATGCTGCAGTCAAACAGGATGGGCTCCTGGGACACGATGCCAATCTTGGAACGCAGGAAAGACACGTTGACGCGAGTGGTGTCATGGCCATCAATCAGCTGCAGGAAGTAATTGATTTTTCCATTAGTACAAAGCAATGTAAGAATCAAAAGACTAGAAATACAATCCAGTTAATGAGCCATCAGACTACTATCTGAACTGTAATTTCTCTCATAACTATGCAGAGGTGATCGTGTCTTTTTTGAATCAGGACTATGTGTTTCCAAACCACTTCCAGCTCAATTAGGGCCATTTGAATCCTGGCATGAAGATCTTCCTGGCATAAAATCAAAACGATCATCCTGGGTAGAGTGCTCCATTTTATAAAATACAGCACAGAGTCAGCAAGAATGTCTGACTGAAAGATGAAGTGACATGAAATACTTCCACCACCGTGCTCACTGAATGTCCAGCAATTATTCTTTGACTGAGACAAATTACACGTTTCACTTTCATAGTGACATCAAAGTATAAATGAGCCTCATGAGAAAAAAAGATGAAAGCAGAGACTATACACACAGTGTGACTCATTCATTCCAAAATGAGATATCTGACATTTCCAAAAAGGTCAGCAACTGCTGTGACAGTATAATATTGGCAGTTTTAAGTCAGAACTCTCCATTTTGTGCAGAGTCAGATTTTTTTTAAGGCTACAGTACACGTTTTTTTTAATCTTCTATTGAACATACAGTTCTTTTCAAATGACGAGCAGTACTTGTACGCATGGAAAACTGAATTTCAATTTCAATTCAATTCAATTGTTCCATTTTGTAGATTGTTGGTTACTTTAATTAGATAAAGTTACACTTTAAAACTTAAGTACATGGTTTTATATCAAATGAAAATTTAAAAAGTAACTTGTAACAGCATATATTTTTTAAGTTAAAGTAGCATAGAGTGGACTAGTGTCACTTTTTAAAGGATTGTTACTCTACAATGAAACTACATATGGTAATAATTCATCAAAAAGAAAGAGTTGTGGTAAAATGCAAAGCAAAACAACAAAAAGAAAAATGCTGCAAAAACACTGTAATACTGTAACCTTTACAACAGAAAGTCAAATGAAAATTCTATACTTTAGCATATGGTTTATTATACTTTAGTAAATAATTTTCTGCATCCTTAAAAAGACAGGAGCTAATTCAGTTCATGAAAAAGAAGCAGGTAAAGCAGACTTTCACTAAAGGTAGCTAGCTTAGCAGATCTCAGTAGATGCAAATTTTAAGAGAATTTCTACCTTAGTGCTTTCTATCTATCTTTCACTAGCATTTGTCTGCCGCAAACATTTACACTTCGATGAACGCATCAGAGAGCAACTTGGGGTTCAGTATCTTGCCCAGTCAAGCAGACTGGAGCAGCCAGGTATCAAACCACCATCCTTCCAATTAGTAGATGACCTACTCTACATGCTGAGCTACAGCCACCTCAATAATAAAATAAAAGCTCTAACATACTATTGGTATCTCCATTTTTTACAATATGAGCCATTCATAACATACTCATTTGGTTTACATATTGAGCCTGTTGCGTATTAAGCCTGTTGTATTTTGTCTCTCTTACCACTTTGCCGTGGTTGGGATCATAAAACCTCTCCAGCAGCTGTACACTAGTGCTCTTCCCACAGCCACTGCTGCCCACAAAGGCCAGTGTCTGGCCAGGTTTCACTGAAACATTCAGCCCATTCAGGACTTGGATGTCTGGCCTAGAGGGGTAGGTGAACTTGCAGTCAATGAAGTCAATGTTCCCTTGGAAGTTATCCTGAAAACAAAGCAGAGTGAGGGTCAGAGAGGATAAAAACACATAAATAAAAAAGACATTCACCCACATTTCTTACACCTTCAAAGAGCATGGTACTTCACACATAACTTATGCACCACCTTACCCATTTTTCTCCCTTGTCATTGTAGACACTGATCTGAGGCACGCGGTCTAGTAGCTGGAAAAAACGTGCTGCTGAGATCTTGGCTTTGGCATAGTCAGGTGTGTAAGAGGAGGCTCTGCCGAGGGCTGTGCCACTGGTGACAATGGCTGAAATTACCCTGTAAGAGATAACAAAAGCACAAATAGACCCCAGCAACAATCAAAGCCCACTGTACTGCACCATGATTTGGGAACGTGGAAATACCACCCACACACATATGCAGATGATACACATTGGTCAAGTGTGGTCAGACTATTTCACTCATCATGGGCAGTAACATTATGGTAACTTTGGACTTAAATTAACCCTTTGAATTGTTCTTCCTCCAGGATGCATTTTTCATGACTTTAACAAAACAATCTTTTTTGCTGTTTTTTTTAACAACTCAATTGTTATTCACAATTATATACAAGTTTGAAATTATACATAAAGGCTCAAATTTATACGTACACTCCCACTAATTGTAGGCTAAATGTACCTTAGCAAGTTTCACTTTGACCAAATGCTTTTGGGAGCCATCAACAAGTTTATGCACAATTTACAAGAAGAAAAATCTACAAAGTTGTCTCGAGTATGTGTTTTGGGGGACCTTTAAAAAAACAAATAATTTTTAACCCTTTACTGAAGTTATCTTTTTAGGATGATGCAGACTAGTATTAGACATATACATCATATACATTGACTTGACTCTCACCTGAACACCAAACTGAAATGGAGCCCCTCCTTTTGCACCAAATAACCTCCAAACCTGTAGGAGCCTGAGTTTGTCAAGAAAATTATGCACTGGGAAAAACCATAGCAAGCTCCATATACATTCGCCTTCTTCAGGGCTGCTTGATATGGCGCGTCCAGCTGGGCCTCATACATCTCCACAAAGGTCTTCTCCTTCCCCAAGCCAGCGATGGTGCGAATGTTGTTCAGAGCTTCACCAGAAATCTGGGCATAAAGGACTAGAGTAAAGTCTAAAGCAAGCCTAGTTGTTGTGTGCTTTAATGTGCAAAGGAGAAAAGGATGTAGATAACGTAGCTGCTCTTTCTTATCTATGTCCTGTTTTTTGCAGCTACAGTTATCTAGTTTCCGCCCTTAGGTATTATTAAATTTACATCTAATCCACTTTACTTAAATGGGTTGGGTTTACTGCATTAGGATAATTCACATAGCATAAAGAAAGTTTGTAGTCCACTTTTTACTGTGAACTTTTCAGCCCACTGTATTCTCCTAAAATTTTATCAGTAGCATCCTGACTGCATTTTGAACATGGCTGGCCCCTACACCATTGGAGCCTGATAGTATTAACTGAATACTTCACTCCCCAAATTACAGGAACAAAAAAATTATTAAATTGAACCCTGGACCCCGATAAATGTTCAGCTGCAGGTTTTTGCAGGGATGTAACCTGCAGCCTAAAACTGTAGTTAGGGACTGTAATGATGCATTTTACTTGTCATTCTATATCTGAATAATGCACTTGTACTATTTTCAGACTGGAGGATGACGTAAACTGATATGAAATGCAAGTAAAATAGGAATCATATCTGACCTGTCCAGCCGCTTCCATGGCCTCCTTGTCCTGTTTGGCGAAACCTGTGAGCATTGAAGCCTGGAAGCCGCTTGACAGAGCAATGAACGGCAGAAAGCAAAGGATCAGCAGTGTGAGCTTCCAGCTGAAGTAGAAGGAAATGATAAGTGCAACGCCAATGTTTGCCAGAGAGTTGACGATCATGCCGATCTGTGAGCCCGTAGCCTTGGAGGAAGAGAGCAATGATGTCACTTGACTCAGACTTCTGGTGATTGTCCACATGGACTGAACAAAATTTTAATACATATAAGATTCTATAAACAACAAACAAGCTATTACACAATTATTTTCAGTTGTTTATTCTCAAACTTGCTAGAATTAAGAAACATGTGCAATTTAGGCTAAAATTGTGATTTAAAAAGAAAAGACATAAACTACATAAATGATAGAAATTACATTCTAACCTGAATATGACTTTTTAGAATTTATTGAAACGTGTAAAAAGAAACAGAAAGCTCAGCAGCTTAAGCAAGAGTTCCAGTGATACCAGTGATATCAAGGAATGGCTAGCTGATAGCCCAGGTTAGGCTAAACTAAAGCTAAAACTATAAATAATCTTATCAGAAACGATGTGTGACATCACAGCATATCCATTTTTTATACTGTGTTTAGTTTCAGCATCCAAGTAGCTGATTTAATTATAAGCATAACTTTATGGCCCAATATCCATGAAGATGCACTTTATTTTTTTGTTTTGTTTTTTTCATTAAAGCTATAACTCACTCCTTGCACTTGTGAGGCATCAGTGGCCAGACGTGTGGTCAGAGCTCCTGGACTGTTCCTGTGATCATCAAACCATCCAACCTCTTGGCCCAGCATGGCTTGGAAGCCAAGCCGACGTAACCTGCGGGTCAGCAGTTCTCCAGACTTAGAGAAGGCGTAACCCTGGAGACACACGCACACCCAAAATATTAAATCCAAAACACTTCCACAGTGATTTCATACCGAATGTGATTTACTAAATGAGTAACCTAAAAAAAAAAAAAGGTTTCCCACTCATAAATTGAGTATAAAGAACTGCCTTTGCTTTGCAGGATGTAAGGAAATGTTTTCCTTCAGCAGAATGCATTTATTTACCAAAATAAACAGGTCTCTTATGACCTTCCTTCAACCTTGACCACCAGCAGGTTTTAAGGCTGCAAAGAAGCACTAAAGAAATCATTATTGCAAGTGAACTACTCTACCTGCAGCAACTGGGTGAAGAAAGAGACAATGCCAACCACAACAAAGAACAGGCAGATGCTGTTGATCTCCTTCCTCTGAGCCACAGGATCTTGTACTGAGAAAGTCTAAAACACATATAAGCATTTAAAAAGTGCTTTCAAATAAATGAAGAATTTGATTGACTTATTTGATTTTATTTTATTTCAGCTCACAGTGTCACTGTACTTAAAAGAATCTGATGATGGTTTAACAGGACCTCAAGGGTGGGATAGCACGAAACATTTACACTGGAAAATATTTAGTGGGTATTAAAATTCATTTTAATAAGTCAGCAAACTAACGGCAAACCAAACTGACAGGGCTAGAGTTTTTAAAACTGTCATGTGATTAAACTCAGAGTCATAGAATAAAGGGCTGTTTGAATATTGGGGTTTGAGTGATTAGTAAGACTAGGAAAATGCTATATAAAAGCCATTCCATTATACTAGCCAGCTAACATATCATTTACACAGATAATGTATTGGTCACTGCTGCTAATTAGAAGGAAATTTGCAAAATGAATATCACAGTTCACTGTCAAACTAAACCAGTCGTTTGTCAAAGTCTTCTGATTTGAAGTAAGAGCTTGAGTCTCATGTACAGTTTTACATGACTTTATAGCCATATTTCATGTGCATATGTCAGTGTCATAAAAAAGATAAGAGACACACAAATCTAAGAGTGCTTAACACACTAACTCACACATGTCCAGCTGTCATTTACAGCTGGACATGTGTGGACATGTGTGAGTTAGTGTAAACTCTGGGCTGTAATTGGTCCAGCCCAGAGTCGATCATGACCAACTGGCCAATCCACCACCATTCATTTATACCGTTAAAAAAGGACAAGAAATAAAACCCCATCAGCCCATAAAAACGAAAAATCACGAGCAGCCCACCAGGTATGCCCGATGGCCGGACTAGCCCTGCCCCGAATAAACAGTGGTTTCCTGGGGACTTCTGGGTATTTTACAGGAAAAGAGAAACACATTATATAGGAAGGAATTTTAACTATATTATAGGATTAAAAAAAGGGCAACTGAATAATTAAAAAAATCATCATTCACATCAACATAATGAATATTAAATAACAATTTTTAAAAATTGTTATTTAACAATTAAAATTTAAAAAAAATGTTTATTCTATTGTACCTAACGTTAATTATTTGTATGTAAATATAATTACATTGTATTTTTTTTTTAATGCACTGAAGTCTATGCACTTAGTTATTTCGTGCATGGGAGCATACATTGCTCTATATATCTTTCAGCAAGGGTGATTCCTTTCCAGCAGCACTAGTGCACACAGTGCAAACACAGTTTGGCAATAACAGATTTAACTGAATTACATCTAACTGCTGGCTTGGTGATTGTGCAACCATTTTGCCACTTCTGTTCTGTTCTTCCTGTGGAAAATGTCAGTACTAGAAATTCACAATATTGTTGAGTGAATTATATGAGGTTGACATAAATGCTTTCCTGACCTAAACTGTATGCTGAACAATATGAAGGGAACACTGCATTTTCAGCTTCTAGTGCAACTATATGTTGACTGCTGCTTTTGCCCCTCGTTTGATTTGTACATCTGGTTTGGTCCAAAACTTAATGCCTACATTCTACAAGCTTTTAGATTCAGATTCAAAACATGAGACTTGAACCTCACCGCCAGGATTTGACTGAACAGCAGAGAGTAGACGGGGTTGACCCCTCCATTTATTGCAGCCCCAATGGATCCAAAAAGCATATATGGCCACTCAGGTGTGTTGTACTTTAGGATCCTGGCAGCTGAAGCAGGTTCCACAAGTTCATCGTCCTCTTCTAGGAATGCATTCTGAGCATAAATATATAAAGTTATATTACGCAGGAGCATTATAATAATATAATGTTTAAGCATGGATTAAAAAAAAACTACAAATACAAACAAGTAGTTTTATACTCCACTGGTTTGTAACTTTTGTTGGCTGTTTGTTGGCAAACGTTTCATACATAAAAGAAACACAAACCCACTCACACCCACACATACACACCTTGTCGTTATCTGGTCGAGATATAGAAATGTCTCCAGTTGGAACGGAGGCTTCTGGGATCAGGTTTGACAACTGGGACCTGGACCGCCTGCGGATGGAGGCTCTGCAAAGAATTAATTAGTTAATTACAGAAAAAAAAGAGTAATGCACATTATAGGTTACTGAATATTGTAGGTACTCGAGTTTGTGAGTGGTGCTGCTATTGTGGCACTGATTACTGGATGCTTGTATTGGGGTGACAGAGTACCTCTAGCCTCCTCTACTGTCGTACCTGTTGTATAGTGGCTCTGGATGATAGTGTCAGCTAAATGTTCCAAATGTCAGATTAAATGCAAAAGGGTGATTAAGAAAATTAAGGTGCCAGTTTATGCACTGACAAAAGTCAATTTCAGCTACAAAATGACTACTATAATAATCCTATTTAGATGCACAGTCAGGCCCAAGAAAATGGATAAAAACTCAACCAAGAAAATGAGCAAATGTGATGAAGAGAAGGAGTGATTGGGCACAAGTTTGTGTAATACCTCAAACTGTCACGGTAACTGCCTGCTCTAGATAGCTTTAGTCTCTCAGGCTCGTCTTCATGGTCGGCCACTAAGAAATAAGAAAATCAATAGAAGGAGATGGTCACATTCACTAGATTCTTGTAATATCTACATGCATAAGTCTTTCAAAACATTTAGATTGAAGCAGAGTGGATTTCGTCATTCCCAAAGGGCTGGACCTACTTTGCCGAGCCTTTTCATTCAGAGCCTTGTCTCCTTGGCTCTGCAGGGTGACAAGAGTGAAGTAGACACCCTTCCTCTCCAGAAGTTCATTGTGTTTTCCCCTCTCTACGGCCTGGCCGTGCTCAAAGCCCACAATCACATCAGCGTTCTTTATGGTGGACAGACGATGAGCAATAGAGATAGTTGTGCGGCCCATTCGTACCTGTGAGGAAGTTTAAAATACTTAAATACTTACTTATATTTGATCATTTCTTCTTCATTCCCAAAACAGAGGCTGAAAATTTTAGTTTTGTCAGTATTTGGCCCTTGTAGTGACGGTGGCAGCCATTTTTTTTAAGAAGTCTTACAAATTTTGAACCTTTCGTCATTAAATATCTAATTTAGTCGTAGATGAGCCAGACATACTTTATCCAAAGCTGCTTGAACTACAGCTTCACTCTCGTTATCAAGAGCTGAGGTGGCCATGTCCAGCAGCAGGATACGAGGGTTCCTGACCAGCGCTCGTGCTATAGCAATCCTCTGTTTCTGCCCGCCGCTCATCTGGCCTCCACCCTCCCCGACCAAGGTGTCAAATTTCTATCAAGAAAGGAAAAAAGTTGTCAGCCAGTGCTTAAACGTTGTGATCACCTATAAAGCTTAAAAGCCTATTGCTCATCTGCACCTGTGGCAGGTCCATGATGAAGTTGTATGCGTTGGCCTCCTTTGCAGCAGTGATGATGTCCTTGTCAGAGACACCAGGGCGACCATAGCGTATGTTCTCTGCAATGGTCGTGGCAAACAGCACAGGCTCCTGCTCCACTATACCGATCAGAGAACGCAGCCACTGGATGTTCAGCCCTCTGATGTCATGACCATCCAGGGTCACCTGAGATGGAGGCCACAGAGAGCAGGTGCTTGTGCTAAAATTGATGGATGATGCTATTACAGCACTTTGCTGCTATAATGCATTTCCTTGTTTCTTTCTGTCTTTGCAACAATCCTAGTTTCAAATCATAGGGTTGTTAGTCTTATGGATGCCCTTCATCGGGCAATAACAGGCTATTTTCTACTCAAGAAGCTTAAAGAAATAAGACAGTGTGGGGTGTATGGGCCTGTAATTCCAGTAAAAGTGAAAAATGAGGCTGTTAGGATCCATTTGCTGAATAATGAAACGGATTATCGTGTACTTCCATCAGCCTTAGGGGATGGTTATTTTAAAAATAGCTAGAATAAAGCTTCAAAGGATGGAGGTGTGTATCCAGGTAATCATCACACTCTGATGAAAGAGTCTGATGAATGATTAACTTGACCATTTGGAGCTTCACACCTACCATCCCCTCTTTAGGGTCATAAAAACGCTGGATGAGTTGAATGGCAGTGCTCTTCCCAGCTCCGCTTGACCCCACAAAGGCTGTGGTCTCCCCCGACTTCACTACAACATTGAGCTGGTCCAGGATCTTAGCAAAGACAGGACACTTTGTGACAAGATCCTGAAACCGGAACCATCTCAACTATGCATATGTGTGTAGATGTCTGTAAGTACCTTTACTTCAGGTCTGGATGGGTAGTGGAAGGTGACATTGTGAAATTCAATGTCCCCTTTGACCCTGTCGAGCTTATATCCAGCTTCAGATAAGCAGTCAATCTCTGGCTCCTGGTATCATTTTAAAAGGTGCAATGTTAAAAAAAGGTCAATGGTTTTCTGTGGAAAGGCTTAAAAGATATCAAGTCAAGTCTTCTCACTCTGTCTATAGTCTCAAAGATTATAGTCGCAGCTCCACGACCTGACGCAAAAGCCTCCAGACACGGAGAGGCTTGCCCCAAATTCATGGCTGCTATCAGAACCCCAAAGAACACCTGAAATAACATATAAAAGTCAGTATATTATACTCTTCAGTGTAACAAATCTGGATTTTATCAAGAGTGATGAAAGGTTATTTTAAAGTGCCACTTTGTTGTTTTATCTTGCACTAATAAACACATGTAAAGCAAAATAAATAGGGCAGAAAAGTCAAAAAGTTACAAATTTAGATAAGCAGGATTTACCCGTTATTATAGGCTGTAATTCATATTTTGGCATAATATATGTGATACCTGCAGCAGTGTTCCTGGTGTGTATTCTTTAGTGTCCACAACCAGTGAGGAGCCATACCAGAAGGCCAGACCATAACAAAGGAAGATAACCAGCCACATAAAGCCAGTGAAAAACCCCACAATCAAACCCTTTCTAATGCCCCAGCGCTGAGCGGAGACCAGGTTCCTGTCGTACCTTTAGAAGAAAAGAAGAGTTCATTTGAGCTACCCTTAGAAGTACAAAGAAAATAGTAAACATGCTGTACCTTTCTTGTATACCTCACCTTTGCACTTCCTTTTTCTCTCCTCCAAAAGCAGCCACAGTTCTGATAGAGGACAGGACCTCATCAGCTACAGACCCAGCTTTAGCATAGGCCTGCAGCTCCATCCCGGTTAGCTTAGACACAAACTAGTTACAACAAAGTGATGCCAAGTTAATGGAGAGGAGAAGTGAAACTGAAATGTAAAGTTAAATCAAGTCTTGACAAGTCAAGAGAGGTTTGTTAAACAAAACAGGAGAAATGAATTTGACGATTTACCCCCTGAGGTCAAAGTAATCAACCCCAACAAGAATAGTCAAAAAGCTGTTTTGTCATAAAATCAAGCTGGAATCTTAATATCAAACAAGTCTCACCAGAGCCATAAGACCTGCTCCGACACCAATCAGCGGACTTGCTGCGATTATGACAAGTGTTAACTTCCATCCTTTGACAAAGCCAACGCAAAAACCACACACAAAGGTGGTGAAACGCTGCACAAATATGGAAACTTGATCCGCAATGGCATCATTGATCTTGTTTATGTCACTAGAATAGAGATATAACAATTGTAATACAGATAAACCATAGTAGTCCATATCATCACGTTCTACTCACTCTGACATGCGAGTGTTGAGCTCCCCGACAGAGGTGCAGTCAAACCAGCCGATCTCCATCCTCATCACTTTGCTGAAGTACAATTTCCTGATGAGCTGAATCTGCTTGGCAGCAGCAGTCACCCACAGGGAGATCTGTCAGTTGTTGAAGAGAGGTTATGTTCACTTTTGTTAATTAGCAAATATAAAAGCAAGCAGGGCAGCAGGGTGTCATCAGGACCTGCACTCTTCCTCCTGACCTTGTTTTTGATTTATAAAAAGACAAATTACACCTGTGAAACCGCTAAAGGGGCACTTAACACATGAAAGGGCACTCATTGCTTAAGAGGTAGGTTAACACTAAGCATTTGAAGATATATGCACATTCCACATAGTCTTCTGATGCTCAGGAAGAGCATTGCTGAGAAAATAATCCAGATGGTTATTTTGCAATGTTGTGCAAAATTTCTTTTTATTTTTTACTAGCTAACAGAGTCATGTGATATTTCCTGAGCAGAAACCAAGGGCATATTTGGGATTTAAAAAGGACTGGAATATTTACATTTGCTCTCATTTGGTTGGTGTGTCAGAAGTGTTACCCTGTCAGCAGTGACATTTATGAAAAAAAAAATAAAGTAAGGAAATAAAGAAGGCATTAGTAGAACAGTGACTAATGATTTTCAAGCCATCTTATTTCTTAATTGCTGGAGGAAATCAAAGATGACCTGGAATCTTTTACTAGAAGAAGCTGCTCAAGTCCTGCACCAGACCTATTTGAAATCCTTCACTTTTTATCCTGTGCAGCTTTTCAAAAGGTAGAATGAGGCTTTTAGTAAACTCTCAATTTACCCAGGGTTTTTAGGTTCTATCATCACTTACAGCGATCTTCAGATTCAGTTTAGCCTGATCATGATAAATAACCTAGAAACCATAGACTGTTGCTCAAATTTCAGTGCTATGTAGCCTCCCAATACAACTTCTCTTTAGGTCATGCCATTTTTTATTTACTTTTCTTCCAGGAATGCACATTTCCCTAGTATTGTTCCAAATGTCCTTTTGGCAGTGAGGTTAGACATCCCTCCACTAACACCTACACTTCTAAAACAGAAAATGCCACAAGTCCAGGTTGTTACTTGCGGTGAACTGGACATAAAATAGCAGTAATAGAATAGCCTCTTACTGTCATTGTACATGTACAATGAAAAAGCATAAGAATAAAGAAACAGCAGCACAGAGCAAGGAGAGATAGTGGAAAGCCACGTTAATAGATTAGACCTAGGCTCATCAGGGCAGGGGTGTCCAACTCCTGGCCTCAAGGGCTCTTGTCCTGCAGATTTTGGATGTGTCCAGAACAGCTGATTTAAATGGCTAAATGACCTCCTCAACATGTCTTGAAGTTCTCCAGAGGCCTGGTAATGAATTAATCATTTGATTCAGGTGTGTTGACCCAGAGTGATATCTAAAACCTGCAGGACACCGGCCCTGGAGGCCTGGATTTCCCCACCCCTGCTTTGGAAGATTGCATTGTTCGCTTTCAACTTACATCTTCACTTCTTTGTGGTTAGAATTATCACAATCTGTGTTGCAAATTACAATCAGTCATTACCTGTGTGTTGTGGTAAAAAAAAAAAAACTGGAAATGAAAAGAACAATACAAATAAATAACTACTGTGGCATCTATTAAAAAAAAGTGTTTTACTTTTTTTCAGCTTTTTCTAAAATAGTAAAATACAGGGATCATAATTTAGCATTAAAAATATCAATTTCATTAAAAGAAAAATTTTTCGAGCTGATCTGAGTCACGGTGCAGTTGATGGGTGTTTTTAATGAGTAAAGGATGACTTATAACACAAGTTTGTTTATATTAAAATATTCCGTGACTAACCTGAAGGTATCCTAGCAAGAACACAGCTGCTCCAATCCCAGCATAATAGAAGGCAAACATCATCATTTCATATTCAATGTCAAGAAGCCTGTAAATTAAGTCACACATATTATTCAAAAGTCACACATGAGGACTATAAAACACATAGAGATTACAATACAGAAGCCACAGCTTGAACTATATTTCGTTTTGACAAACGAAATATTGTATTTCTCACAACCCACTTACCCACATGTTCTGTTCTCCAGCGGTACGAACATCTCGAGAGTTGAATTGAGAAGGCCGATATCTGACTGGTTTATGGGCGCTGACAGGTTGTACGCTGCAGTGTAGTTCTTTTTCCACTGGATGGTGTTGTTCACGCACTCCTTGCGGTCGTCACTCAGTTCTTGTAGCTCAATGTCGTACTCGATGAAGGCGTCAGTGAGCAGGCCGAACACCAGCAGCATGAGAGGCTGGGCTGAGCCATGCAGCAATGCGCACAAGCAACCCACCACCATCATCAGTATGTCTTTGCACGTGGCAAAGCGGAACTGGGCAGGTGCATCAACACAAAGCACACACTAGATTAGGTGGATCCAAATTGATAAAGGAGGGGACATTGCAAACAGTGTAAGGCATTTTTACCAGCTCAAAGAAGCCGACTCTAATGGCTGGTTGCTCTTCATTTTTCTGAGCTCTATTTGACATAAAAGTCCAATGAGTTGATTATTTACTCAAATGTGACAAAGTATTCAGAGCCTGCTCCTTGCTACTTACTTTTCATCCTTCTTGGAATGTGTAATTGTTCTGCATGGAAAACAGGACAGGGAGTAATTAGACCAACAGATACTTGAGAAACACATTCATGCAGGGCATATGACGAATTCATGAGTCTAATGTATTTATCAAGAAATGAACAAGTCATATCTTTATACCTAATGGGTCATCAATTGATGATTGCTTATCAACTCTCTCTATATTTATTGTACAATCTACTGTACAATATAAAGCGCCTTGAGGCGACTGTTGTTGTGATTTGGTGCTGTATAAATAAAATTGAATTGAATTGAATATTTAAGCTTAACATTTATGATCTATTAAATATTCAGGAAGATCAAGACTTCATAAGAAGTGTCATTTAAGGAAAAATTAGATGATTCAATTATTATGTAAAACAGAGTACTTTTCTATCCATTCAAACTTGTATTAACAAGGTTGCGATATACCAAACTTTCAAGTGATTGAGTTGAATCTAAAGACTGATGTGTTGAGCAAAAAGAACAGAAACTACTGACACAGTCTTTTTAAAATGCATTAAATTATTAGTTGATCCAGAAAAAAATAATAAGACTGATAATGACATTTTACTTAGAAAATTCAGATATTCTAAAATTTCTCATGATCAATAAATAAAACATTAAACTTACATATATGAGCCAGTTGGTTCTGTAAGACAACAGATACATTATTTATATCTGTCATTGAAACTAATTTTTATAAAATGAAGTTTAACATAATTTTCATTGTTGATTATATCTCAGTTTTCTTAATAAGTTCTCTACATTAAAAAATAGCACGTTACCTTCATCTGAAACCTCATAGCTGTGGTTTTCCTGTCCTAGTTGTTTTATGCTTTGCAGTTTCACAGATCCCGTTGGCATGTTGAGTCATCTACGAAAAGAAAAGGAAAACAAAATTGAAATCCCACTAGTACCAGAGTGCTTTTTTTGTTTGTTTTTTGCACAAAGAATATCTTACAAATCTGTTATCCTATTTGTCCTTGATTGAGGTGTATCATAAATCCAAGTCAGATTAAATTGGCAGTCCAGTATCCTAACATGAAGCTGTTTAATCCCTGGTGATTGTCACAGCTTGCCACTTGCGAAGAAGCTGAAACACTAAATACCTTGGCAGCTCTTTGCGTGCTGTTATTGAACAGATTATGCATTTGTTGGAACAGGGGGTTGGATTGTTTTGTTAGAAGGTAAGTGACCTGAAACGGCCAGTGACCTGAAACGGTCAATGACCTTGCAAAAGCAAACCTTTTACTTGTAAAGGCCAACCACCGTTTATCCTAGTCTAATGTCAAGCTGAATATTAGAATCCATAGCTTTTTAAACTGTGTACAGCTGTAGTAGGTTATGGTTCTATCTCCATAAACTATCATAATCCTCTACCAATTATAATCGTACTGTAATAAGTAGAAAATTATGGTAGGCCAATTTTAGCATTTTAATAAATGCAATACATATAAATACATATTAATGTGAGCCACCCCTCATTTCTTTATATGTTGCTTTCATGGAGCCAGACAACACTAAGAAAATGCTATGGGGCAGTTGTCGTATTTGAATATAAGAAACTTGTATATCCAACATGACTGTTGTGAGATTATTCTGTTATCATATGTTATCTTATATCTGTAGTTAAAGTAGTTGAATTATGTTAACTGCTGTAGGTCATATAATATCCTTTAGTCTAGATTGTGTGCTGTGTATGTAGCTTAGTTTCCATTATATTTTTGGGTTAAAAGAATGTGACCATTTTTGGATTTGTTAGACAGGTGTGCATTACCCTGTACCCTTGATCTGCTGTGAATGTGTTACACTGTTTCTTGACATTTCATACTGCTGAATCATGAAGAGAATGTTGTGTGCAGAGGACCTTGTGCCGATAATAGAAGAGACAGACCACATTCCATACCCCCACCTTTACAGAGAGCAGAAAGACAGGGAGCCGAGGTCATAACTTAGGCGCCGTAACAGAGAAATAATGTGAATGTTTAGGCTTTTACGACTAGGTGGGGGCCACTAGAGGCTATAAGAGCTTGAGTAACCCTCCACCAGTTTGAGATTTGTTGTGACCCTCTTCATGCATGTCTCCCCATCATGATGGCTTATGCTCATAAGTGTTGAATTGTATGGAAATAAAAGAATTATTGATTGAGCATTTATACATCGAGTATTGTCCTTCCTTCAGCCCAAAGATTAAAAGAATTGGGAGATTTTAACAACTTGGTGTCATGACCCGGATCTTTGGTGTGCTGAGGAGGGGCAGATTTGGCCTGTGGTGAGATCGTGGGGCGAGGCGAACAGAGGACCGGTCCAAATATAAAAAGGTAAGCACAGCCTGTTGTATTATAAATACCAAATGTGCATATTGGGCTTTCCAAATTAATCTGTTCGCTGAGTTACACGTATTTTCACATTAAATTTGTCGGTGTCTGGTTTTCGGCGCGAGATACTAACATCATAAGTTGAGGCTGAATTCCAGTGTGTCATAGGAACTGGCTCTAGCAAGATACTAAAAACATTCTACGTTGAGACTAGAGTTGCAGCCCACGTTACCCTCCACATTTAATTTTGTCTATGACTGGCTTCTGTTGCAAGAAATGGGGAAAACTTCTAAGACGTGGCCAAAGTTTAGCATATGAAATAGAGGTGAAATAGAGTCTGGCTTGTGGTGCGCTTGCAATTTCAAAGGTGAGCTCAGAGGTTTCTGTGTGTGTTTCCGCGTGTGTGACGCGCTCTCTGTGTGTTTCATCGTGTGAAATATGAACATGGTGACAGTGACGGTTGATGTGTGAATGGGAGGACACTAGAGCAAAGACACATTTTAGGATCAAAGGTTGTGGGCCTCGTGGATTAGTTCTGGGAGTGGTTTCCCAACCGGTAGATCGGACGCGGCCCGGAGATAACTAGGGTAGCAACCTTGGGAGTGGAACCCCTAAAGAGCTTGTTCATGCCTGAGCCTGTCTGTGGACGCTCAGGCAGGTCCAGCGGCGTCTGGTTAGCCGAGGTGGCGACTTGGGAACTGAGGACTCCCGCATAGCTACAGAATAACACTGAAACTTCTGTGTAATCACGGGTTTACATTTATTCTGGACTAGAGCAAGACACATTTTGCGAACAAAGGTTGAGTTCTAGATTAGTAAAAGATAAAAAGAAAAAAGGTTGAATTCCTCATTTCAGTGGTTGAAATTGCTGTTTGCCTGTCCCCTGACGAGTGTGTGAAATTAATTAAAGAGGGCAATTTGGAGCCACATAGAGATAGACAGGCATAATTGGGTGTATTACTCTGTGGTGTAAGAAAAAAGAAAAAAGGAATAGAGGAGTTAAAGTAGTAAGAGGTGAGTAGTGGTGTGAAATATGTTGGGTTTTAAAACTGACGTAGAGAAAGGAGAAATAAAGGGAGAGTGGAGAATTATTGAGAAGCAGAGAGAGGAATGTGTTGGGAGACTGGCATGCAGTCTGCGCTGTAAAGGTGGGCGTGTTGCCTGCTGGTCTATTTAACAGTGATGAAAATTATATTAAATAAATCTCTTAGTGTGTTAATACAGGAGGCTACGGGCCTGGACCAACCGCCCCCCACAAGCACAGCGGCCGAAGCAAAAGTATAGTAGTGGTAACCACACCCAGCAAGAATCAGCAGCTGTGAAAAAGACAGCAGCGAGGAGAGAATTAGAGGAGAAATTAAGAGAAGTTTTAACACATAAAATTGGGGCCAACAGACTTGTGGAGGTTGGGAAGGCGTCCGGAGCATCACAACAAAAGGTGAAACAAAAACACACACAAGCAGAGAAATGTGAGAGAAAGGCTCCTTGTAAGGTAATGCCTTGTTTGAGAAAAAGTTAAAAATAACCCACTTACAAATGCACACACACACAATGAAAAAACAGCTTACACTCAGGAACACATGAAGATTTTCCGGCAAGATTGAAGCAGGGAAATTTAACATACAC